TATAAGGGTCTTCCTTTCTTATACTGTCCTTATTTTTGGATGAGGAAACTGATGCTCAGAGAGGTGAAGTGCCTGGCCTCAGGCTACATGGCTATTATAGAAGGGTTGGCTCAAAGGCCATATACTAAGGAAATACACTACACAATCATACACTAAGGGAATATGCTACATACACTAAGGGAATACACTGCACAGGGAATACACTATGCTACACTAAGGGAATGTATTACACTATACAATACACAAGAGTCTATCCTCTGAAAAAGCTAATATCTAATATTTTAATCTATTATTAAATTTTTGCTAGCTAAATAGTTAGACATAAAATAGATCACTTTCATTTCCAAATAATTCCTTAGCACTTTAGTGGGAAACACTTCTAAATCCCAGAGATTTGCAAGGAGAGAAATCTGTCATGGATTTGGTCTTTGTTGACCCTCCCTGTTCCAAGCCCAGAAGTCAAATGCAAGATTTCTGCTCCTTTCATTACTTTAAATCAGTTTACTGGTACAAGGACATAAACACAAATCTCCCCAGTGCAAACTTATTTACCAACAGCCCATTTCTTTACCAAAAGGTTTGAGGATGTTCATAACAAAAGTCTTACTCATGGTAAGAGAAGTAAAAGAGAAACCAAGAGCAGGACTTTGGGAAAGAGGAAGGAAATACACAGGCCATGAGTGACAAGAGTTGTGGCTATGACCAAGCCCCAGGCAACTGCTGATTCTAGTCTTGGTGGAGGGTACCATCATGGGGGACAACAAAGATCTTTATCAGTGCTTTATGTATTTATTTTGAAAGTGGAAATCATTTCTATTTATAAAATAAAAGTTGCTAATTTAGATCACTAAAAATTGGTTTGATCAATGTTATGAAAAACAGCAGTGAACCTATTAGTGGCAACTTTTTGTTACCTTAGATATTTTCCCTTTTATTAATGCCTATAAATTTTAATACATATTGGATTTCAATGAGTATAATATTTGATCATATTCACTCCCATTACCCTTTCTTATACTTGTCTCCCTCTTATTCCCTTCCTCTTGTCTAATAATGGTCTCCCTTCTACTTTCTTGTCATCTTTTTTAGATTCCACATATTAAGAAGAACATGTGTTATTTGTCTTTCTGAGTTTGGCTTATTTTGCTCAACATGATGATATCCAGATCCATCCATTTTCCTACAAATGACAAATTTCATTCCTCTTAATGGCTGAATGATACTCCACTGTGTATATATACCTAAACTACATTTTATTAATACATTTATTTGTTGTGGGCACTAGGCTGGTTCTCTTTCTTGGCTATTATTAATTGTGACACAATAAACATAGGTACGCAGGTGTTCCTATAGTAACTGATTTTAATCCCTCCGTGTATATATCAAGGATGGTACAGCTGGATCAAATTTTACCTGTGCACCAGGAGTGGTGGTGTATACCTATAATCTCAACACTCAGGAGGGCTGAGGCAGGAGGATCTCAAGTTTGACCCCAGCCTGGGTAACTTAGTTACTTAGTAAGGCTGTCTAAAAATAAAAGAATAGTACTACTAATAAGAAGAGCCACAGATATAGCTTAGTGTGAGGGCCCTGGGTTCAATCCCCAATCCACAAACACACACACACACACACACACACACTCACACTCTATGTTCATTTAGTTGCTCATAAAATGACAAGCTCCACATAAGAGCTTATCTAAAGGCTTATCGAAAATGGTACTCACATTATGTAAGAATAAAAAAAGTGCTATTATTAGATATGATCAGGTGGATATGGCACAATACACGTCCAGGTTTTGTTTCTACAATACATATGCAACTAATGGTTGGCTCCTGAAACCAGAGCATTTTCTTTGCTTTTTCTCCCATGGAATTAGCATGATACACAATCACATTTCACTTGTACAGGGGAGAAAAACATTGAAATGCCTCAAATGCAGACAATACTGTATAAAAATATACTATCTTAGCTTTCTTCTTCTCTTGGACTTGGAAACTTTCACTGTCGTCAATCACTCTTCAGTCCTAAAGCTTTCTCTGCTGTGATGGGATTTTTATACATCACATCAAACTACAGTCCTTGCTTAATGATGGAGGTATGTTCTGAGAACTGAGTGTTAGGTGACTCTGTTATAGTGCGAACACCATGAAGTGTTTTCATGCCAACCTGAGTGGTGGAGCCTACTACACATTAGACTATCTGCCTACAGCCTATTGCTCCTGGGCTACAAACCTGTCTGTCCATCATGTTACTATATTGAATACAGCAGGCACTTGTAACACAAAGGTTAAGTATTTAGGTGTTTAAACACATCTATACACAGAAAAGGTACAGTAAAAATATGATGCCACTGGAAGTTTTCAGCTCCTTTATAATCTTATGAGACAACAATCATGCACGTAGTCTATCCTGATTGAAACATCTTTATGTAGCACACGACTGTATGTTTGGATGTTTCCATGCCACCCCTCACCTTCATCCTGCCTGCTTCTCTCAGTTCCCAAGCTCACCAGTTATGTCCCTGATTTGGAACTCTGACCCTTTCCTGGGGGAAGGGAGGAAAACTAGGAATTGTAGGAGAGCAAGGGATAGCAGCCTTGGCCCCAAGTTGAAAAGAAACAGAAAACGTCAGAGGGCAAAGCAGGGACCACATGCTGGTCAGTGTTCACTTTTACACCCACAGGGCCTCATGCAGTGCCAGACATGCCAAAGGGACAGCAGCTCTTATCCAAACTGGGGAGCATAATGGTACCAGTTGGAATCCTATCTAAAATGGTATCTGAATCCTCTCTTTAATAGAGTGATTATAAGATTAAATTGATGTGTCTATAGGTTTTTAATGGTTTTTTGGATACAATATTAGGTGCTATTTAAATACAAGAAGCACTGAATACCACCCTCAGTGGCCCATTTCAGGGTGAAGGAATGGCTGATATGCAAGAGGTCCTAGACTTTTCTCTTGCCAGCTGCTTGCTGCCCCTTCTGCCTTCTCTGTGAACCCTACCTGGTTCTTCAGCAGCAAGAATGGCCACTATCCTCACCTTGGCAGTCAGACCCCCTCTAAAAGAGTGACCCCAAGTGGTAAGAGGAAGTTTAATTCTCCTACCTCTGTGACACCAGGCCAACCCCTCTTGGGCTGGGAACTGCTAACAAGGAACCCTTAGAGAGGTCACTGTATTTACTACTAAGCTTGAAGTGAGTCCCAGCAAAGGGCTGCTGCCATCCTCCTATTTGAGCAGTGATGCCCAGTGGCACCTGTTCCTAGCAGCATGCCCACTGACCGACATAGAGCCTAACAGGCGATCTGATTAGCATGGACTCCAAGTAGGGGATATTTCATTTTCTAAAAGATCAAGCCTGCACTTCTCAGAAACTGGAAGACCTATTTGTTTAAGTTTCCCGGGACCGAGAAAATATATCTGAACATTGAAACTTCTCCTTTTTTGGGAGTACTGGGTTTCGAACACAGCGCCCCATGTGTGCTAGGCAAATACCCTACTACTAAGCTCTAGCTTTCGTTATAAACTGTAGGTTTAAGTTTCCCAGAGCACATCTTACATGTGAGGCAAGGGCCTTTTGCACACAGTAATGCTAAGGTTAAGCTCTGCTGTAGCTTATTATCTTGTGGATAAAATCTAGTAAGACTGCTCACAGACTTTATTAACCACTAAAAATAAAACTAGTTAGGAGCTAAATAAATGGCTCCAACATATATTACTGGTACTCATTCAAAACTTGCATTTTATTTCTTGGAGAGGCTGAGTTGGCAGGAATTATCTGGCAGATTAGATAATCACTGAGTGTTATGAAACAGAACTGTGTTTTGTCTTCTCTTTTTCTCTACATGAATAACACAAACTTCTTCTAAATGGCCTGGATGCATGTCCCTTTGTCATGGAGATAAACATGAGGGAACAATTCTTCTAATTAGCCCATGAGGTCTGGGCAGCCCCACATGCCAAGACAGGCCCCAGACAATGGGTGTGTTCTCTAAGGACAGAGAGAAGGGCTGAATAACTACTTCTCTAACAGTAAGCTCACTAAAATCATTATTTGTGCATGGGCCCTCCAAAACTTAGTTTTTATCTAATAATCCCAAAATGTATCTTTACCTACTTAGGAGAATATTTGGAAATTAGTGTTTTCTGGCAGATTTACCATGTCCTTCATGGGAATATTGCTGACATTTGTTAATGGTTGACTAGCATCACTCGCAGTATCATTTTAGAACTTTCACAAGTAAAATACAACCCAGGTTAGCTCGGGATTTGTAAAACAGATCTAACATTCTCTTCTGCAAAAAGATCAGGCTTCTCTTCCAGGGACAGTGGCAGCAGATGGTGAGGCCACTCTGAGTGTGGTCTGAAGGTCACCAGTCACAGCACAGGTTCCCACAGCTCCAGACCAGCAACCAGAATCTTAGTCTGGAATCTACTTTTAAACAAATTCCTCACTGCTTCTTTGCACAAAGTTTGAGAACTGCTCCAAAGAAACCTAAGGCTTTCTCTGCTTTTCTCTAAGCCCTCTCAAGCCTCTACGGAAGAGCCTGATAAGAATCAAGGTGAGTCCTCAGTAAGTATTCAGTGAAGTACAAAATGTACCATGTAAGGATATTATCTCTTCCCTCATCCTCAGGCTGCCAGGAAGCTTAAAGCCACATTCAATTACAGAAATTATGTAGGCCTTTCTGGCATGCATGTTTCAGTTTTTTCTCTCAAATTTTTATTCTTATGTTCTCCCTGGTTCTAATTTTTACCCTTTCTTTATTTGCTGCTGTTATTTTATGTTTTTTGTTAGCAATCTCAAGTCCTCTGTTGAACAGAACAGGGCATGAACATACAAACACATTTTCCTACAGACACAAACCAAGGTTGTTGTTACTATGCCCCCACCATGTTCCTCCCCATGCAAAGGGCCTGCCACAGACTGAACCCGTTCTTTTGCCTCCCTTTTCAGCTCTTTTTTCACAGATTTGTTAAAAACACTAGCAACCTTACTTGTGTCCTTGGAGTTCGATAGCTGTTCCTTTTCTCCCACCGATGTCCCACATGATGACAGAGTGGTCAGAACTGCCTGAGAACAAAACTCGCTGGACTGGGTCCCAACAGAGAGCGGTCACCCCACCTGAGGACAGACACAGCTGCATATTAGTCACCAAGCAGCAACATCACTCAACAAGAGAATGAGAACACAAAGGACTGTGTACTTGTACAGTGTAAGTTCTGGCATACAGTAACCCTGTGTTAGAAAGATAAGTAAGTCCCAAAAGAGAAAAATTGGCTTCAAGAGTGAAAGTCTCACCTTTTATGTGTTTCCCCCAAATTTATATGTACCATAAAGTCAATCCCTATAAAGATCACAGGGAAATGAAAAAAGAATTCATTGACCTTCAAAAAATAGACACTATTCTGAGAATGGAAAATATTGCACTATTTGGAAATATTAATCATATTTTCTTAAGTACTGTCTACCTCTCACCATAACAATAACAGATGAAAAGTAAATGAAGTTTAAAAGTGCTCAATTTGATTTTTATTGGTTTTTTGCATATATAATCATAGTATATACAAAGTTCGCCAAAAAAATGTATACACTTTAGGAAAAGAAAATAGTACAATGTTTTTTCAACAGATAGTGTTACCCTCATATGGGGGACCCCAGAGTATGTCGCATATCACAGAAAACCAACTATACTGCTGTTATCGTTTGGGTCTGGATGCTTCCCCAAAGCTTCATTTGGTCAGAAGTAGCTGAATCTGGATTGTGAGATGCTGGGATTAAGGATGTGATTACTAAACCACTATACATGAGTGAGTAGTTTAGCATCTCCCTACTCCCTGCAGTCTGGATAGGATAAAAGAGGCAGAAAGATGTGGTTAAGGCCCTCTTGCTTTTGCTAGCATGTGAGTGCCATGTTGTTTCTCCTCTGAAACGCCTGACTGCCATCCACCTTCCTCTGGAGTCAGCGATTATGGACTGAAACCTCCACAAACTGTAAGCCAAATAAACCTTTTCCCCTCCAACTTTGGGTGTCGAGTATTTTGTCTCAGCAATGAGAGAAGAGTAACTAACACAACTGCTAGCCCTTGAAGAAATTTAAAAAGCTGGGCCAGGGATCTAGCTTAGTGGTTCCACCACCTGCCTCAAAAGCGCCAAGGACCCAAATTCAATCCCCGGTACCACACACACAAAAAAAAGCATGTGAAGCAATCTCAATGACCAAGGTTACCCAAGTAGCAGTTCACCACACTAAATGCCTAGAAGTTAATGCCCACCACTTTGAGCATCTCTTGTAATTATAGGGGCCAAAATAACTTGTATTAAACTAAAGATGTCTCAATAAATTTAGTACTGAAGTATTTATACAAGTTTTTCTTTTCCTAAGGTGTCTATACAGTTTTTTGGTGGACTCTGTATTTATGGGTACAATGTTGACAACTTGTTACAAGTATACATTGTGCAATGACCAAAGGTGAGTAGTTAGCATATTTATTTCCTCAAACATTTATCATTTCTTGTGGGAACATTCAAAATCCTCTCTTCTAGTTATTTGGAGATACACAATACCATGTTGTTAACCACAGTCACCCTTCAGAGGCTAGGCATGGTGGTGCACACCTGGAATCCCAGCACTTGGGAGTCTGTGGCAGGATGACTGCTACAAGTTCAAGGCCAGCCCAGACTACACAGCAACACCTTGTCTTAACCCAAACCAACCAACCAACCAACCAACAAAATACAGTCATCCTACAGTGCAACAGAAAGCCAGTACTTATTCTCCTAATTGTAACTCTACCCCTTAACCAACCTCTCCCACCCCAAACCCCTACCCTCCAGGCTCTGATAACCACGGTTCTCTCCATAACTTCTAGAGAGCACCATTTTTAGATCTCACATGAGTGAAACCATATGGTACTTCTTTCTGTGTCTGACTTATTTCAGTTAACATACTGTCCTCCAAGTCATCCACATTGCCCATAAATTTCATTCCTTTTATTAGTAGAGCCACATTCCATTGTATATATACCAGATTTTCTTAACCATTCATCAGCTGGTTGACACATTGTTCCATTTCTTAGTTACTGTAAATAGTGCTACAATAAACACGGGAGTGCAGTTACTGCTTCAACATGCTGACTTCATTTCTTTTGGATATATACCCAGGAGTGGGATTGATGGATCATATGATGATTCTATTTTTAAAAATTTCTGAGGAACCTCCATATTGTTTTCCACAATGGCTACACCAACATTCCCACCAACAGGGTGCAAGGGTTTGTCTTCACATCCTTGCTTATATTTGTTATCCTTTTTTTTTTGGTACCAGGGATTGAACTCAGGACCTTGCGCTTACAAGGCAGGTGTGGTGCCAGAGCTAAATCCCCGGCCCTCTTTCTTTTCTTTTTCTTTCTTTCTTTCTTTCTCTTTCTTTCTCTTTTCTTTCTCTCTCTCTCTTTCTTCCTTTCTTTCAATAAGAGTCATTTTAACTAGAGAGAGGTGACAACTCATTGTGGTTTTCATTTACATTTCCCAAACTAGTGATGTTGGGCATTTTTTCTTCATATACTTGTTGGCCATTTCTATACCTTTTGAGAAACGTCCATTTTAGATTTTTTTAATTCTGAACATCAGATATAATTAGGGGACAATATCAGAATTTAAAACTATATTTCTCTTGGGCAATCTGAATTTACAGATTCCTTACAAATCACTTATATCCTTAAGTATCAGTATCCTTAACTATGTAATAGAGATGATGGTAATGCTGGTACTATGACCACTACAATCACTACTTTTAATAACATCAAACCAACCATTACTTACTTTGTAAGGCTGTTGTGAGAATTAGATTAATAACATAGGACCACTGTGCAAACTGTAGTGTGCTATACAGATATTGGTTATTGGCATTACTCTAGTGGTATGGCTACAAAACACTATGACAAATTTTCTTCTATAGTACTGCTCTTAAAAATCAAACTCCTGGGCCGAGGATTTAGCGCAGTGGTTTTGCCACCTGCTACGCAAGCACAAGGACCCGAGTTCAATCCCCGGTACCAAAAAAAAAAAAACAAAACCCAAACTCCTTGAATACTGAGATAGTAAGTTTTTCATATAAGTAATACATTTTTTCATATAAGGTGAGCACAGAATCTACAAATGCTCACGAATGTCAGAAATACTTTTTTACATTATTGAAAAATATTACATTCCAAGAAGAATATATTATTCTTGTTCTATATTCTTATGATATAATTGCAGGGACTCTCCATCCTGTCAGAATCAGTATGGAAATACTGTGTCTCATGATGCAGCATTTGTAAATATGGGGTGTACTGGTCAGCAGGAATGAAAAGTTATCTGTCTCTGGGACACTGTAAACCTTATTTAAGGATTTCTGAACTGCCCTAACAATGAAGCCCACTGACAACTGGGTTATAAATTGGAAACTATAGCATCCATACTGAACCACTTTCTGTGTAGTAGACACTGGGCGGATATAATCAATCATGTAAGGCTCAGACTCACAGTGACTGAAACTATGAAACTTTTTGTTTTTTTCTGAGACAGTCTTGCTATGTAGTCCAGGCTGGCCTTGAACTCATTATGTAGCCAAGGTTAGCCTTGAATTCACGGTGATCCTCCAACCTCAGTGTCCCAACTGCTGGCATTACAGGTGTGTGCCATCATGCCCTGCTATGATGGGACTATTTTTGAGAACAAGAGCACACACACTGCATTTGATGGAGCCATTTCCTCTGGGACATGTAGCTTCTCCCTCTGCCTGGGGTGCCTGTCCTATACTTTAACACTCAAGTCATTTTTTCTCTCTCCTTAAGGTACAGCTCGGGTGCCTTCTCTTCCAGCAAGTCATCCAAAATGGCCTCCATCTAAGTGAGGCTCCAGCCTCTCTCTTTGTACTGATCCTCCACATTGAGCTTTCCTGGACTGTAAGTTTGTTTTCACAGTTGACTTTGCAGTCTGTATCTCTGTATCTGAGCACAACATATAGTGCCTCTACACACAGGCTGTTCAATAAATGCTTACTCAAATGGCTTCTAGTGTGGCAGAGAAGAATGGGGGAACAATGAACAAGAGAGCCTTGGGGTGGGGCTGGTTGGAAGGCAGTGCTATGAGTCATGGGAGGAGCAGAGCTGGGATGGATGAAGCCTCATCCTGTGGATGGTCTTTAGCATTTCCTGGCAGAGTGGGCTTCAGGAGTCCTTTCTCCTCCACATTTGTGGCAGCTAGGAAAGCCATCTGGCTTCTGGGAGCTTGCATTCCCCACAGAGCATCCACGTGGGCGTGGTGCCTCAACCAATATGGAGGGCAGGACCAGGGCTACCCTGGCTGTGGTTTTCTAGTGTTCGTGGTATTTTCAATGATAAACATAATTTCTTCCATATCATTTTACTTCATTTAAATTATTCATTTTTCTACTCTCCTTCAATGTTTCATTTCAGGCTTCTTCTCCCTACTCTTGGCCCCCCCAATATTACCTATAGGGTAGTTCTTAAATAAAATGATTTTTCAAAATAGAGGCTATTAATCATTTTTTAATGGTTACAGAATCTCTGAGATGAAAAAGTTAGGAGTGGTGATGGCTGTACCACAGTTAATATACTTAATGCCACAGAATTGTACACATAAAAATTGTTAAAATGATAAAACTTACACTTTGTATATTGTATCAGAATTTTAAAAATCACTGAAAGTTTTTAAAAAAAATAAGAGATAGAGGTCTTGCTATGCTGCCTAGGCTGGTATGAAACTGGAATCAAGCGATCCTCCCGCTTGAGCCTCCGGAGTGGCTGGGAATACAGGAGAACACCATGGTGCCTAGCTCATTTTGGTTCATTAGAAGAGAGTTTCAAATGTGGAACTGGATAAAAGTGTATAAAGATTTTTAGAAATTTAATATATGTTGCCAAAATGTTTAGTGAAATAAAATTTTTCGAGACTTTTACAACATACTTGCAAAAGCAAAAGACTGCGTGGATTGTTGCATAACCAGGGTTGAAACCTGCTGGGTTTGCCTTTACTAGACTTGACAGGGTCAGCTGCAAAGAGTTTGGCATCACAGCCTCAAGGATCAGGCACATAGGGTAACGTAGCTAGAGGACAGCCTAATTCTGCTCAGACCTGGGTCTCCTGAATAAATGATCTAACTTTTTACCATCTTGGTCACTACATTTTGCTCTAGGTTGAAGCTGGAATGTGCTCCACCTCTAGGCTATCCTTCTTTCTCTTTAAATATTACTTCCTCCTTGGGAAGCAGAGGAGAGGTCCTCCTGTTAGCTGCACCTAAGTGGCCTGGATGTGGCATTAAGGGCTTCACAGCACTTACTATTTGAGTAATGTCTGTAATTACTGGCCCAGTGTGTACTCCATGCTGGACTGGAAGCTGAGTAAGGGCCAGGATCATGTTCGTTTACTTGACTGAATTGATGGCTAACCGTATCTGCTGACTTACTCTGGTATTAACTCGATCTGTGTACAAGTCTCCATTGTAAACAAATATTAAGGTTCTTAATTTAATTATGTGGAATTGTATATTTGCACTAAAATTTATTGGTTTGTGTAATTTATTTTTGTTTAGTTAACACTGTTCCTTTTGATAATTCTCCTAATAGATAATGAACAAGGCTGTGTTTAATTTTTCATTAATTAGGATGCTTTGGCAGATTTATATTCAAGCCTTCCTGTTTCCAATATGCTCATGTTCATAAAAAGTTGTAAATAAAATAAAAGATTTTATTGATGCTGTTAACTTCCAGTGGTCAAATAAGATCTTTCCCATTTCATTTAAATCAATTTATGGCTTTTGGTACAAATACATTCTAATTTCTCCAAAATACCAAACAGCCATGAGACATGGCATCTGCTCCAGAAAGAAAACCAGCAGAGGGAGCATAAGAACATAAAATTAATTTCCTAAATCCCTATGGATTAGAAAATTTTTTTTGGCCTCCGGGAGTGACTACTGGGCTGATTCCATCATTAAACTCACATTTTGGTATGGCCTTCCGTACTACAGGAGAGTGATGGGGTACAGTGATGAGTCTATACACATACCAAGGCTTGTCTGTGTCTGCATTTGGATCAGGATTGACGAGACCCCCAAGACCACTCTTTGATGGACATGGATTTACTTTAGGGTCTTTGTTTAGTCTTTACAAAAACTCCTTTCCCAGCATTGTGTTTGGGACCCAGGGCCCAGAATGGCCTACTACACAGGAAAAACTCAACAATATGTCTGAATCATCATGGAATCTTTTGGTGTCCTTGCTGAATCTTTAAATGACAAAGTTGAGCTGCACCCAAATTCTAGATGGGTAGATAATACTCTCTGGGAATGGTAACAAGTTAAACACAAGAATCTCACTGTTTCATCTGCCTTTGTGTTAGTGACCTTCCTGAGCTGTGTCCTATCTGCCTCAAAGATATTTCTCAATAAAATGAAATGAAAATGCTTTAAACTCTTTGAGAAAGATAAGATCCACTGCCAAGATAATGTTACAACAAGCCTGCAAAATGTGACCTCTTAATCACAGTATACTGGCTGACAACAAATATAGCATCAGCTGTTTATTCCTTCTGACCTGGAAGCAATGACACAGAACTTGGAAGACTCCTAGAGTCAAGGGGCAGGCAGAGAGCCACTTCTGCCTAAATTAAACCCAGGAACTATCTGGTCCATCTGCCGAGCTAGCTCTCCATATATATATATATATATTAGCACTGGGGATGGGACCCAGGACTCTACACACTAGACACCACTCTGCCACACAGCTATGTCCTCAGCTCTAATTGTGATCTTTTTTTTTTTTGCAACCTCCTACGTGTTTATCCTTGATTTCCCACTGCCAGCATCCCATTTCAAGGGACAGTTTCCTACTAGCTTTTCAAGTACACTCATTACTGTAGAGCACTCTTTTAAAATCTGATCAGGCTACTTTGCTTCAGACTCTTTAATATCTTCTCACAAACATCAAAATAATGCCTGAGTTAAGCCTCAAGGGTCTGAAGTGACTTTTGCTTCCTTTCCGGCTGCCCCTCTACCACTGCCTCCCTCTTCCTCTCTCATACTCTGGGTTCCAGCTAAGAAAGGGGGTAAGGGAAGGGGGAAGGGAGACAGACAGACGGAGACAGAGACTGCTGAGAGACAGAGAGCAGTGCTCAAGACTGCTGTGGTCTTGAATGTTCTCATATGACTTGAATCATGCCAGTTTCCTCCACGTGGCCTGCTCTTCCCACTTCTTTGCAGGTCAAGCAGCATCTCCTTCCCGGCTATCTCCTGTCTTTTCTAAGTAAGTACCCATTCTGGGTTCCTAGAAGGGCTGGGTGCTTGCTTCCTCTGCCTTTGTTACAATATGTCATAATTACAGTTTATCACATGTCTCACTGGGTTGTGAGGAATTTGAGAATGGTGACTGTGCCTTTTTATTTCTGCGACAGGAGTAATAGTTGAGATCAACAATGGAGAACACAGAGTGCAAAGGGAAGAGGATCCGGAGCATACCTGGCTATTCTGGGAACCAGCAGGTGAGGCACAGAAGGAAAACTGGGAGAGGTTATTTCACAAAAGCAAAAGGAGGGCAGTGACAAAAAGAATGGTCACAATATCAAATGCTATTGAAAGGCTGAGTGTTAACAGAGTTTAAAATGTGTCCCAGCAGCCATCGGTCACCTTGAGGATAGCAGTTCAAGTGGACCAACAGAGACAACCCAGACAGCAGGGTGTTGGAAGGTGAAGACTCTGAAGCAGTGGGAAAATCTTACTCTTCTAAGAAGCATTTCTGTTTGCTACAGTCTAGATAAACCTTCAAGAAATGGCCGAGGAGTGAAATAAGTAAGTTACAAGTGGATAAGTACTGTATGAGTCCACTTATAGGAGAGACCCGGAGTAGTCAGATTCATTGAGACAGAAAGCACAAGGGAGGCTGCCAGGGGCTAGGGAGGAAGGGTGTGCTACTACTGTCCAGGGGTAAAGAGTTACAGTTTCTCAAGATGAAATATGTGCTGTGATGAAAACATGGTGGTGATGGCTCCACAACATGCACTAATTCACAACACGTGCGTGAATGCAGTCAGTGCCACAGAATGGGACTTTTAAAAATGGTTAAAACGGTAATCTTCATGTTTTATACATTTTCAATTTTTTTTTTTAAAGCAGCATTGGTAAGACGGTAAGACAGGAACTGCTACCATAGGACACTGCATTGAGAGGATTTTGGGTTGTTCTCTCAACAGGGAAGTAAGAAATTTAAGCATATGAATAAATTGAGAAAAACAAGCTAGTCAGAGGGAGACAAATGGAATCCATCTTGAGGAGAACTAGCTGGGGTCAGAGGAAGGCAGGTTCCCGAACTGAGATGTGGAAGGGACAGAGGAAAACAAAGACTGGGTTCCTACTCACAGGGGAGGTTTCTATGGATTCTTCTTCCCAAAGGCACAGATAATTAAGGTGATCTTTTATGAATCTTTTCCCTTGGATTTAATTTTCCCATTACTGCATGTTTCTTATCCCAGAATTCTATTAAGATTAGACTGGTACTATCCAATTAAACATCCTGCTTCCCTTATTTTTGTTCTTAGGTGGCATTCAATCTGAGTACTGTCCCTGTTCTATACTAAATCATTGATTGGTAGTCTGCAGAAAACAGGAAAGCCCATTAAGGACCATGAAAAAGGGCAATGGCAAATATCCCCCAATTAGCACTTTCCTTAGTCAATGCCACATGCTAGAAATACTGGTTAGGGGCCGGGGATTTAGCTCAGTGGTTCTGCCACCTGCCTTGCAAGTACAAGGCCCTGAGTTTGAAACCCAGTACCAAAACAAAAGAAAAATATATTGGTTAATCATCATCATGTATCTAAGTCTTTCAAAAGCTACGAATGACTATTTTATATCTGCTTGCTTAAATGCTGATAAACAGTAATATAAAGCAGATCTTGGATTATAAACTGAAAAGGGGCCAAAAGAAAGAAAATATGAACATGTCCTTTTTCGTGTAATATAGCTACTCATGATGAGTGTATTTTTCATTAGTTTCAGATGTGGGAATCTTTGTTGCCCAATATCTTTTCACTCCAACAATGACGACAGATCCAGGCGGCTGTCCTTGGCCTTCTGGGGTTTGAACAGTTACCACAGTGTCGAACAATGTCCCATTAAAATATGCCCACACTGGCTTTCTGTAGTGCAAGCTAAAAAGAACTAAATCATCAACATTTTCAAAATAAATTGGTTCCTCTTTGGTCTGGACTATGGAGTTGTTTGCTCCTTTGTTTTTTTAGTACAGGAGACTGGGCCAGGGGCACTCTACCACTAAGTTACATCCCTGGTCCTTTTTTATTTTGAGACAGGGTCTAATTAAATTGCCCAGGTGGGACTAGAACTTGCACTCTTCCTCCCTCAGCCTCCCTCAGTGCTAGGCTTATGGGCATGTACCACCATGCCTAGCTTGGAGAAAAACTGTTCACATCATTTCTTACTGAGCCATTCTGAAATCAGTTAAGTATATCATATGTATCTTTGCACAAGCATAAGCTGTACTTTGCCACTTTAAGAACATCAGAATACATAGTGGGTGAAAGTGTACTGTGATGACAGCACATGATGATTTTGCTTTGAATCCTACCTGTGTGTCCTCTGAACGTTGTGACCAGTGTGCAGCTTTCTTGCTCCAGTTTGAGGATTGTTACTTGGCCTGAGTGGTCACCAATAAACACATGCCGGGTTTCAATATCAAATCTGTCATGTAAGCATTAAGGATTGTTTTTTAAGATTGAAAGGGAGGATTTACAATGGAAAAGAAAATGGCATAAATGTAACAAGAAATGTGCAAATTTCACACTAGGAGAATCTGAAGAAAGTGCTAAAAGACACAAAAATGGGGTTAACAAAATGAAGGACATACTGTAATATTTGACAGTAAGCCTCAACATGACTAAGATGTCACTTCTTAGTGCATAAATTTATAAACTTAATATAATCCCAAAAAGGAATTAACAGTGTTTCTAAACCTGGTGTGTACATTCCAAAGGTCAAATGAAAAAATGAATAAGCAAGAAGGGCCAAGAATACTTTGAAAATAAGAATAACATGGTATGTAGCAAGGGAAGCTACCATGTGAGATAATAAAACATGTTCAAAAGTGTCTTTGCTTAAAAGTATGATTTTCGTGCAAGTACACAGACTAATAGAACAGAATATAAAATCTAGAAAGAGACCGCAAAGCACACAGCAATGTAGTACATATCTGGAAAAGGTAGCTCTTCAAATGAGTAAGAAAGATGGATTTAAAAAGTGATACTGGCACAAACTAGACAGGTATTGTATTTTATATTGTGCACCTGGGTAAATTTCAAATAAAATAGATTTACATATAGAAAATGACAATGGATGTAGCTCAGTTTTAGAGCACTTAAATAACATGTGCAACTCCAAGGTTTGATCCTCAGGACAACAGCAACAGCAACAAAAACAATGAGGAGGAGGGGGAGGAGAAGGAAAACATGTAAGTTTTACAGAAGTGAGTTTTTTGTAATTTTGGAAAGGGAAAAGCTATCCCAAAAACCACAAAAAACAAATACTACAGGCAAAGACAAAAGACAAGATAGAAAAAAAATTTGGGGGGGGCTTCTGTCACAGGGGGTCCAAAGAAAGGGGAAAGAAAACAAAAAGAAACATAGCAGGCCTGTCTGTTCTCCTTCACAAAGATGTTTAGAAAGTTGGCCTAGTGTCTGGGAACCTGAATTTTTGGAGGGCTCCCACCATTCATTGATAATAGTGTCTCACTATATGTATATAAATAATAAGGCGTATGCTGAATACCTGCTTCCCTTTGGGGAATCTAGAATTTTGTGCATGCAAGTGAAAGCGACCAGCCCCATTAAAACTCTAGGTACTGAGTCTTTACTGGACACTTTTGGTTGACAGCATGTAGCAATTCTATTTCTAGAGATCTATTCCAGAGATATACCAGAAGAACTATAAGATAACACACGTCCAAGGCTATTTACTTTGCTTTTTTTATTTTTGTACTTGGGACCTTGCACTTGCAAGGCAGGTGTGGTACCACTGAGCTAAATCCCCAGCCCTACTTTGTATTTTTTTTGGTACCAGGGATTGAACTCAGGACCTCGCGCTTGCGAGGCAGGCGAGCTTTGTATTGTTTTAATAGCAAAAGTTTGATAACAGAACACAAGTCCATCAGTAGGGGATTTACTGAGCTGATTATGCTACACCAACACAATAGAATACTATGCACCTGAAACAGAAATGAAGACTTTCATACATTAACATGGAGTTATTTCCGAGAGACTTTTATTAAGAGTGTGTATATGGGAAAACCAAGATCATGAGAATTTACAAGCTGTGCTACCTTTGTGTAATAAAGGGAGGGAAAGAGAAGTGTGTGTGTGTCTGTGTGTGTGTGTGTGCACTAGTATTTAGAAAAGGAAGCATGAAGGTCCAACAAAAATGGCTGCACATCAAGGATCAATACACAGGTAAAGTTCACCAAAGTATAGCTATATGTAGCATGGATTTGGTCTATATCCACTTTCAAACAAATCCATTGCAAAAAGCTATTTCCAAAACAACAGCAAAATCTGAAAATGGATTCAGTATTGAACAGTAACCAAAAATGATTACTAATTTTTATGTGTAGTAACAGCATTGTGGTTATTGAAAAAGTATATATTTTAGAAGTACACAATGAAGTAGGTAAGGAAGAGATACATTAGGCTATGGACTTTGCTTTAAAATAGTCTAGCACAAAGGAATAGAAGAAACAACAGTACATGTGGGTGATCAGTATATGAGCATCTATTACAGTATTTTCTCCACTATGGTGCATTTTTTGAAGTTTTTCATAATAAAACATTAGAACGAATTATAGAATGTGACATAAAAACTTATATTCTTCTAAGTTATCAGACATGTAGCCTAATATCAAGATTTATACAGAAAAATCACCTTGAATTTTATCTTGATATTATAAACAAAAATAAAAAACCTGATTCAGTCTGAGACTCAACAGTCTAAAACATTGCAAGTAAATTATGATAACTATTCTAAAAATATGAATTCAACAAAAGCTACTTAGAGGAGGGTTGAAATAAAATGAGAGTACAACCTCAAGGCCAGAGTGATTGACATTAAATAAGATATGAAGAAACTGAGATAATCTCAATAGCCTTTCAGAACTCTTTACCTGACCAGAAATAATTCTAAGTGATTACATTTGGTGGAAAGACAATTCACAATAGAGGTTGACATTCTGAAAATATCTCCAACAATGAAGAAAATCCTAAAATTAAAGAGTACTTGAAATATTTTTGTGGAAACATAAAAAAATATGATCAAAACAGGGTTAAAAAGATAACCAATGAGATTGGATAAAGTATTTACAAATTTAAAGTACAGAAAGTGACGTAGGGAAGAAAAACATTAATTTCTATTTTCTATTACCTACCTGCCATGTGACCCTTGGGAAACACCACCAATCTAGTTGTAAAGAGGACTATTAAAAAAAATTCTAACATTCATGGTCTAATCAAGGTTTTGGCAGGTTTTAGCTTGTGGCCTCAAGCAAGTCACTCAATCTTGCTGAGTCTTTCTGAGCCTCACTGAGCCTTGGTTACCACATAATGAAATAGAAAATTAGGTTATTTCATTTTTACTGCACCTTACTGTCTTGATAGTGAATAAAGTAATGCGTATAAAAGCACTTCATGAATTCTGAGGGACTTCAGATATGAGACATTTTCTCCCTTTTCCTCTCCTTTTTCTCTTATTGTTATTCTTATTGTTATGGGTCACTTAATGCTTGAGGCTTAAACTGCAGCCAAATAACCAAATAATCTCATGCTATTCAGAAATCAACTTTCAATTATCAACTGGTTGATCTGTTTGTCTTCCTTTATTTTTCTGTTTGAATCTAAGTTACTTTTACTGCATATTTACTTAGAGGCCTGAAAGAAGAGAAAAAAGGCTGAATTCAATCTGGTTTATTTTTTCACTTGGATGAATGAATGAAGTGGAGATGAAATAGAATTAATTTACTGTGAAGGACTCTTACTTATACCACTAGCTGTCCACCATGAAGGTAAAAGGAGGTAATGATATAATTCGAAACATTTTACATTGTGTCATCAAACCTTCTTCCTTCTTTTATCAAATAAAAAAACTCTAGGAGAGTACAAGGTGGCAGGAAGAAGGGAAGAGGTACTTGTGGGGGGCTGACACAGATGAACACATTTAAAAGCTACATCTACAGGTGAACCCTAATACTGCAGTGTCTTGCCTATTAACAATCTGTCCATCAGCGGACTCCCAGAAAAGCTCCATGGAAAAGTCACATAGGTCTTGGCTGAGACCCTCTGTGAAAGCACAGAGGTGTTCATGCCATCGGGATTTAGCACTGGAAAAATACTCAGGAGCAAGGTTGGCAAGGTGGCACCAAAACTGGAGCTAGCAAGGCAGAGCTGGGGGGGGGGGGTCAGGGAAATCTGCAATGGCTTGTCGACAGGGGTGCAGTTCCAGCTGCCTTCACAGCAAGGGGAATGGTCATTTAGCCTGGGAACAGAAGCCTAGAGGTGCGCGCACGCGCACACACACACATTCTGACAGCAATAATATAACTTTTTTGCTTGGTAAATTACATAGCATGGCCAAGAGAAATAGTCAAAAAATGAGGATGACTTTGGGTACTCATGGCTATTCTCTTACACTAAAGACCACGACAATCAAACAGAAGTTGAACTCTGTGTCTTCAGTTTTTTGTTCAATATTTTCTGATTAAAAAGTTATATATATACGTTTTTTGGTACAAGGGATCAAACTTGGAACCCTGCGCTTGTGAGGCAGGAGATGGAACCACTGAGCTAAATCCCCAGGCCTAAAAAGTTAAATTCTGGAGGGCAAAAACAATACATTTTTTTTTCCATACTCCCTGGCTTGGCTAAGTGATTCAGAAGATAAAAGGAAGATGCATCAGTAGGTTTGGCTAGTATACAGAAGCTAGCCTAAGAACAAATTATACTGGTGCCATGAGTCTGTTCTCAAAGAGGCAGTGCAGCACAGTGGGGAGAAAAACAAGTGTCCAAGGCAGAAGATTTGGGTCCTGCTGTGGATTTTCCTATCTAGCAGGATGGCCTCAGAGAAGATAAGGGACTATTTCTAAACTTCAGCTGTCTCAACTGAAAAATGAGGGTTCTATAGACTGGAAAAATTTTAATTGACAAAAAAAGATTATATATATTCAAGGTATATAACATGATAACTTGATATATATACATAGATTGTGGAATGATTACCACAATCAAATTAGATAAAACATTTACCACCACCTATGAGGACTGTTTGTGTGGGGTGGAGGTATGGAAGAATGATTGTTTATACTCTCTTCAATTCATATGTTGAAACCTACTTCACAAAATTACCTGTTAGGAAGTAAGGACTTTGGGAGATGATTAGGTCATGAGGGTGCAGTCCTCAACATAGACTTAATCAAGTCTCAGAACCAGACTTCCAGATCACCTACAGCAACCCCAAAGGGAAAGGAGATGGAACACTCTGATACTCAACCACCTGGACTCCCTGAACTAGCAATGAAAGAGGATCTGGAAAAAATGAAATCAGAGATAATTTCTCAGATAACAGCAGAGACTGTGCCCATAGTTCAAAACATGATTAATAAATCTAGAGAGGACACAGGTAAAAAAAATAGAGGAGCTGAGGAATAT